AATATATAAACTTGTAGGCCAGGTGTGGTGGCTTATGCCTATAATCTCAGCACTTTGGGAGGCCTAGTTGGGAGGATTGTTTGAGGCCAGGAGTTGGAAACCAGCCTAGGCAACATAGTGAGACTCCATCTCTACAAAAACTTAAAAAAAAAAAAAATTAACCAGATGTGGTAGTGTGGGCCCATAGCCCTAGCTTCTTGGGAGGCTGAAACAAGAGGATGATTTGAGCCCAGGAGTTAGAGGTTGCAGTGAGCTATGATTGATTGTACCACTGCACTCTGGCCCAGGTGACAGAGTGAGACCCAATCTCAAAAAAAAGAAAAAGAAACCAAAATGTTAATATGATTATGTATGAGTTGAAGAAAAAGATTATGAATCCGTTTTCTTTTTTAATATTCTCTGTATTTTGTTTTCTATAAGTATATACTTTCTACAAGTATACATTTTCTACTATATTTATGAATAAAAAATAAAAAAATATAAGGAGTAATGAGCAAGTTAATCTTTTAATTATCCATTCACTTAACAAGTACCTACTGAACATCTAAGCCATACACTGGACCGGACACGGTGGCTCATGCGTGCAATCCTAGCACTGTGGGATACTGAGGCAGGAGGATCACCTGAGGCTATGAGCCTGAGCAACATAGTGAGACCCTGCCTCTACAAACTATTAAAAAAAAAAAAAATTAGCCAGGCATGGTGGCATGTGCTATAGTCTCAGCTGCTCAGGAGGCTGAGGCAGAAGGATCTCCTGAGCCCAGGAGTTAGAGGCTGCAGTGAGCTATGATGATGCTACCACACTCCAGCCTGGGCAACAGAATGAGACTGTGTCTCAAAAACAATAAAAAAAAGCTTCTCCAAAACAAACAAAAAAAGCCACACACTGTGAAGGAGCCCTAGGAAAACAATGAGTAAAATCCAAATGGTCCCTGCTCTATTGAAACTTTTTTTCAGTCTAGTTGGATAGACATATGTCAAATAAATGATCACATGAATACATTTGGTGCTATGAGAACTTTAAAGATTTGGCCTAGTTTTGAAGGAGTTTGCTGAGGTGGAGGTTCAGGGTCAGAGTAGGGGTCAATGCATGCTGACATCTGAAGGATATATATTAATAGTAGTTAATTGGGTAAAGGAGGGAGAGGTAATATTATAGGCATATGCAAAGGCTCTGTTGAGGGATGAAGGCTGGTACACACAAAGAATTAAAAAAGGGCCAGAATGGCTGGAGTGGAGGGAGTAAAGGGGAGAAAGGAAAAGGATGAGGCTAAAGAGATAAACAGGGGCCAGAACATTCAAGGCTTTTGTAAGCCTTATTAAGAAATTTAGACTGGGCATGGTGGCTCACACCTGTAATCCTAGCACTTTAGGAGGCCAAGGCAGAAGGACTGCTTGAGGTCAGTTCAAAGACCAGCCTAAGCAAGAGCCAGACCCTATCTCTACAAAAAATAGAAAAATTGGCCAGGCATGGTGGCACATGCCCATAGTCCCCAGCTACTTCGGAGGGTGAGGCAGGACGACAGCTCGAGCCCAGGAGGTTGAGGTTGCAGTGAGCTATGATGACACCACTGCACTCTAGCCCTGGTGACGGAGCAAGACCTTGTCTTAAAAAAAAAAAAAAGAAAGAAATTTAGTCTTTACCCTAAAAGCAAATAGAGAGTGACATGAACTAAAATGTATTGCAGAAAGACCACTTTGGCTACAGTGTGGGAGAAGACTGGAGCAGAGGGGAAGAGAAGTTAAAGGGAACAGCTAAAAGGCTCTTGCAGTACCTACTAGAAGAACAGACATGTACGTAATCAAGACATTTCAGAGAGAAAACTGATATGATTTGTGCATACCTTGAACATTGAACAGGGGGAGTGAAAAGAAAGAAGGTGTCAAACATGATTCCTAGGTTTCTGGTTTGTGCAGATGAAAGGTTAGATATGTGGCTCATGGAGGTAGGGAATGCAGGAAGAGGGCAAGTTCTGGATGAAGATAATGAGTTAGGTTTAAGATAGGCTGAGTTAGAAGAGACTTTGAATTGTCCAGTAGGCAATTAGATATTTGCATCAGAAGGCCAGAGAACAGGTCAGGACCAGAAATATAAATTTGAGAGTCACTACATATAAATAGTGAGGCTGTGAATATGGATAAGATAGCAGAGAGACTGAGATAGATATATATACACACACATACATACATACACACACATACATACATACACACACATACACGCACACACTCACACACATACAGACAGAGAGAACAGAGTCAGCAGAAGGACCTTAAACGAACTCTAACCTTTCATGCTCAGGTTATGGAGGATGAGCTTGCAAAGGAGACATTTGTAACCAGATGGGTAGGGAGGAAATCAGGAGATGTGGCATCCAGAAGTCAAGTGAGAAGAGTGTTTCAAGGAATTTGTGGACAACAAATACATATGGAACTTCTACTATGTATACGGCCTTATGCAATTGATACTGCAACTCCAAATATATGTCTGAGGCTTTAAAGAAGTTTTTTTTTTTTTTTTTGAGACAAGAGTCTCACTCTGTTGCCCCAGCTAGAGTGCCATGGTGTCAGCCTAGCTCACAGCAACGTCAAACTCCTGGGCTCGAGCCATCCTCCTGCCTCAGCCTCCTGAGTAGATGGGAGTACAGAAACGCGCCATCACGTCCAGCTAATTTCTCTTTTTCTTGTAGAGACAGGATCTCACTATGCTATCCAAGCTGGTCTTGAACTCCTGGCCTCAAGTGATCTTTCTGCCTCACCTCCCAAAATGCTGGCATTCATTTCAGGCATGAGCCACCATGCCAGGCCTGAGACTAAGATTTATTAATATTAAGTATCTTTTCTGTGCTAAGTACTTTATATTTGTTAATTTAATCTTTCCAACAACTCCATGAAATATCCTCTTGTACTTGCAAATGAGGAAACGGAGTAACTTGCCGGAGGTCACACAGTTGGTAACTCCCAGAGATGTCTGCCATACAAATCCAAATTTGTATGACACCCAAGGCCATGCTCATTTGCCCACAGCAGTGCCTGTCAAACTTTTTCATCAACTAACCCCAAATTCCAAAGGAAAACAAAAAACATTCTCAAGGGGCTCTGGGAGACTACTCAAGTATCCAGTTTAAGCCTGATCTGTCTTTGAAATCTTACATTTATCTTAAAATTTACTTTCATATTTGCATTTTACTCCACAATATACTGCTTGTTTAATATGAAAAATTTCAAATGACTCACTCATTAAATCATTCAACTTTTCCTTCCCTAAACAAAATTTTGAGAAAACTGACAATACAGGAAGGTGCACCTTCCATATTTATCCCATAGCTTTAGTTCCTAGTGCCTGCCTTCATAAACCTGGATCTTAGTTTGAAAGCATGACTACACAGAAAACTTCATTACAGAAATATTAATGATGATGAAAATAATAATTATTATAGGCACCTCACAGGTCAGAAGATATTAATAACACCTAATTGTACAGCTACACATAGAGCTGACTAGTTTCTTAACTCTCCGCTGCCAAGAAAGCAAAATTCTAAATATGACCGATTCCAATGAGTTTGACCAAATTAAAGAGCTATTGCTGAATGTAGTAACACCATCTCTTTCTTGCCCAAGAATCTGGTTGCTTTATAAACATAAGCACGAATTCTTCCTGAGGACAATATTTATGTAATATCCAGTGAGTGCCCAGACGCAGCTCATATTGGAAGTTAAGCAATATACTTAGCGGCGAACCACATTTTGACCAGTCCTCCCAGACCTTCCCTGATCTACCAAATGGGGTATAAACGCTTCTCGCATTCTTCCCGTCAATAGGTGTTCACAGTTTGGAGGTAGCTCACGATAGTAAAAAGGATACTAGGTTTGAATTTTGGCTTCAGGAAAACTGTGCTGGGCTTCTATGTCCTTATATTTCTCGTGGCATGCCTACGAGCATTTTAAACTGTGGGACTTGCTGAGGTGCTCGACATACGTTGTTTCCTTCCTTAGACCTTATGCACTTAAAGGACTCTGATTTCAATGTTTAAAGAGTTCCTTTAAGTTGGGAAGAAAAGTCAAGGCTAAGAATCGTCGCCAACAGGTAGGGAACGTTACTCCGCTAAATAAATCATACCTAGGCAAGGAAAGACCTCACAAGTCACGGTTCAAACTGCCTCCCAGTTCCCCTGAGGTTCTGTATTTTAAAAGTGGTCAACTCTATGCCATGAACACCTCATTCCCAATTCTGTACCAGAACCGCTCTTGCGCAGCCCAATCCCTCCCTCTCAGGACCCAAGGAGCTCAGGCCCACGATGGGGACATTATTTGCTTACTTTTCCAGCTACTTCTTAAGCTAGGCAGGCCATGTAGCACTAACGGTCTCAGAAACCTCCATGCTCCGCACTCGACTCGCGTGAAAGCGTGGGTGGGTGCGGGGATTGGGCGCCGAGGACGCCCGCGGTGGTGGGGGGGCTGGCCCACAATCCTTCGCGAGGGCGGGAAAAGCGAGGGGGGGCAGGCAAGGGGGACGGCCGGCGAGAGACTGGAACCCTATAGTGGCCACGCAGATTAATCCTTATGTGACTGTTTCTTGGACTTTTCACACCAAAAAAAACTGGTGTGCGTTCATTACTCTCACTACTCTCACTCTGGGAGTTCATTCCTAGTAAAGATTCTGAGGCTTCCACCAGACAGGCCAGGGTGGAGGTGAGGAAACATGGTGTGCAGAACCCACTGGGCCTACCTCTCCACCTTACAGTCCCCATCCATCTCTTTACTGTCAGGATGTACATTTGATTGGGAAACCCTAAACGGGATTTGGGGAAATCATAACGGAAATGGTGCCGAAGTGTGAAAATTTACAAGCCACCGCAGAGAGACAAAGCCTAGAACCTCGTGCATCCAGGCCGCAGACCCCGCCCCTTCCGCTTTACGCCTGACGTCACACGGCACGGCCTGGCGCTGCCAGGCGGAGTTTGGCTGCGCGGGGTTTAGCGGCTCTGTGTTTGCGCGACTGCGCGCGTAGGGTTACCGCTTTCAAATGCAGCGGGATTTAGTGAGTTTCCCGCTCTCACCAGCGGTGCGGGTGAAGCTTGTGTCTGCAGGGTTCCAGGCTGCAGAGGAACTCCTAGAGGTGAAACCCTCCGAGCTCAGCAAAGGTAACGACTCCCGACTGCAAGCTCAGGCACATCAGGCCGCCCTCGGCCCCGCCCCCTTTTTTCTCCCGCCTCAAGCTTCAACCCAGTTTGCTTCAGAGTCTGCTGCCTCCCCCTGCTGCCGCGTTTACAATGTGAAGCAGCTCTTTACCTCCACTTAAAAATTGTCCGAATGATTAGAACTGTGGTCGTGAAAACATTTAATTGCTTTTTCTGTGGCAGTGCCTGCTGAACGCTTTGAGAATTATCTCCTTTATACCCAAAAGAACCCTCTTACATGGAATATTATGTTCAATATATAGATGAGAGAACTGATCTTGAGGAGGTTAAGTAACTACATGATAACTGGGCTAGGTAATAGCGGAGACTAGAATTGAAACCAGACAAGCTAATTTTCGCTCTTCCACGATCCACAGCGGGATCTTAATTTTAGATAGGCAGGTTTCGCGTAGAAGTGTCGGTAGACACTAAGTGAGAAAGGGAGTAGAATTCCCCAAAACCTGGAGAAAGCAGTAGAAAGAAGACACCCTTTCTCTCCCTTCTCTTAGTAATTCATTGAAAAACCCAAAAGCTCGTATTCCAGCGCGCTGCACGTTATACGTTGGTGAGAATCACAGCATCCTGAGATGTAAAAAAAATGAAGCTGGCTGTGGTCATTCTCGCTGTGCACATTTTACACTGTAGTATGCCCAGACCTGTGCTATTTGCTGAAGAAGATAGAACAGAATCTTAAGTTATTGCCCTTAGTGATGGAAAGTAAGGAGGTTTCAACTCACCACTCAAGAATAAGTATTGTGGACCTAACCTTAACTGTTTGTTTTAAGTGATCCCCTAATGTTTGATAGGCTCTTTTTCTTTCAACATGTTGGTTTTCAAAAGAAGAAGTGAGAGATTCTGAATAATAATCGTTAACAATTATTGACCATTTTGGATGGCCTTGTATTCTACCAAACTTTTTACGTGTATTGTCTCCTCTTTTCTTTTCTTTTTTTTTTTGAGACAAGATCTCACTCTTTGCCAGGGCTAGAGTGCAGTGGGGTCATTGTATCTCACTGCAACCTAAAACTCTTGGGCTCAAGTAATCCTCCTGAGTAGCTGGGACTACAGGCCCAGGCCTGGCTAATTTTTGTATTTTTCGTAGAGGCAGGATCTTGCTGTGTTTCTCAGGCTGGTCTTGAACTCCTAGCCTCAAGCGATCCTCCCACTTGGGCTTCCCAAAGTGCTAGGATTACAGGCGTGAGCCACCATGCTGGGCCTTGTTCCCTTTTTATAGAAGGAAAAAATCTGAGACAGACAAAAGTTTGTTAACAACTTGCCCAAAGTCACACAGTAAGTGATGTGGTTTCATAGGTTCCAGGGATTGCTGGGGGTGAGGTGGGAGGTAGGGGGTGCTGGGGAGTGGGTGCAGTCAGGATTTACAAACCCTAGCAGTCTAGCTCCAGAGTTCAGGCTCTTGCATTGGATAGGATTTACATTTCTTACATACTTACCACCACCATTGTCTTTCTGGAGAGATGGGGCCTTGCTGTATCCCAGGATGGTCTCAACTCCTGGGCTTAAGCGATCCTCCCCACCTCAGCCTCCTGAATAGCTGGTACTAGGGGAGCATGCCATCATGTCCAGCTACCACCATTATCTTTTATTAGCATCACATTTATGGTTCATATCATTACCAAATCAAGCACTGATATATCAAACTGAAAAGTGTTGTCATCCTCACCGTTATTTCTTTAGCAGGTTGCCATGTAATTGCCATTTCCTTTTCTCAGGTCGTATTGTCAGGAATGAAATTGTGTATTGCTTAAGATATTTGTGCATTGAATAATTGTTCTTATTAAATATTTTGGTGTGTTACATGTATTTATTACATCAGTGTTTCCGTGAAAAGTGGTTTTTTTCCAAGAGATGGGGTCTTGCTATGTTGCCCAGATTGGAGTGCAGTGGCTATTCATAGTACCATCACAGTGTGCTGCAGCCTCAAACTCCTGGGCTCAAGTGATCCTCCTGCCTCAGGCTCCCAAGTAGCTAGGACTACAGGTGCACACCACCGAGCTTGGCTAATTTTTAAACAAATTTTTTGTGGAGACAGGGTCTCACCATGTTCCCAAGCTGATCTCGACCCCTTGGCCTCCCAAGGTGCTGGGATTACAGGCATGAGCCACCGCCTCTGGCAAAGTTTTTATTATGCACATTCACTTCTTAAAGTTGTACCTTGTTTTAGGCAGTCAAATAAGCCATTTTCTTTCTCATCTGAAAAATAATTTGTATGCCTTATGAGAACAAGATAATTATGGCTTCATAAGACCAAAAGGGATAGTAAAAGGAAGGACTGCTAGTACATTTTTATTTCTACCTCCTGAGACACTCTTAATAGGTACTCAGAAATGCTTTTTTTTTTTTTTCAGACAGAGTCTTGCTCTGTTGCCTGGGCTAGAGTGCCGTGGCGTCAGCCCTAGCTCACAGCAACCTCAAACTTCTGGGCTCAAGCAATCCTCCTGCCTCAGCCTCCTGAATAGTTGGGACTAGAGGCATGCACCACCATGCCCCGCTAATTTTTTCTATTTTTAGTTGCCCAGCTAATTTTTTCTGTTTTTAGTAGAGATGGAGTCCTGCTCTTGCTCAGGCTGGTCTCAAACTCCTGACCTCAAGTGATCCTCCTGCCTTGGCCTCCCAGAATGCTAGGATTACAGGCGTGAGCCACCTCCCAGGCCCAGAAATGCTTTGGTTGAATAGGAAAATCTTTATGTGACGACTAAGAAAACAGAGACAACTGCCTTTATTAAGTTGAAAAATTAAATAGTTAAAGGAATGTTACATTTTTATGTTTCTCTACTTTTAGCATCATTTTTATCTAAAAATTAAAATTAATGAAGGTAAGCCATTATTATATTAGTCTGTTTTAAATCTCTAAAATTAGGATTTTTTTTATTTTACTTTCAGAAGTTGGGATATCAAAAGAGGAAGCCTTAGAAACTCTGCAAATTATAAGAAGAAAATGTCTCACAAATAAATCAAGATATGCTGGTACATCTGAGTCAGGCAAGAAGTGTACAGCACTGGAACTTCTTGAGCAGGAGCATACCCAGGGCTTCATAATTACCTTCTGTTCGGCACTAGATAATATTCTTGGGGGTGGAGTACCCTTAATGAAAACAACAGAAATTTGTGGTGCACCAGGTGTTGGAAAAACACAATTATGGTAAAATAAAATGTTCCCTTCTTAAGGGTGGGCTTAATATATTAAAATATGTAAGACAGTATCGTGCTGTTGGTTTACAATCAGGAGACCAAAAAAGGCATGTATGTGCTCTTAATGTGCATGTGCGTGTGCATCAAACTAAAACCAACTTAAAATCACATTTGTGTTACTTCAGCACCCCATCTTGATAAATTGATGCAATTATTTTGATATCAAATGTTTCTTTTGCAATAATGTAGTGCAGTCATAAGGGTAAACAAAGCAGCTTCTACTTTATTAATTCACTCCTGAGAATATATTTGAAAGTCAGATGTTTCATAGTCGGTTTATATATGATAAGAAAAGGATTCTATTTCCAGAGGCCTAAAAATCATTAAAAAGTTCTTAATCTTGGTTTTATAGGCATGTTTACCCCCTAATCCAAGCATCAATTGATTCACATATATCTAGAGTCATACAGAGTCAGACATTTCTGTTTCCTTGGGGAGAATATTTGCATTTATAAAAATTTTAGGGGTAACTATTTGCTATCTGGAGTTTAAGAAACACTGTCTTAGATGATCATGATAATGATTTGATCATTTGACTTTTCTCTTGACAGTATTCAGTTGGCAGTAGATGTGCAGATACCAGAATGTTTTGGAGGAGTGGCAGGTGAAGCAGTTTTTATTGATACAGAGGGAAGTTTTATGGTTGATAGAGTGGTAGACCTTGCTACTGCCTGCATTCAGCACCTTCAGCTTGTAGCAGGAACACACGTAAGAGAGGGTAAGTTAGCAAATGATCCTTTTTTTTTTCTGTATAATAAAAGTAAGTTGCATTTGTGCTCATCTGAAACCTCAGCAAGAGACCATCTGGAACTTGAAGCTTAATGATTGACAGTATACTAGTGTGAAACTCTTATATCTCTGTTACAGAAAAAGAAATGCCACAGCCTAGCTTGACTTTTTCTTCCTCTTTTATGGTCCTTGCTTCTTACTGCAGGAGCTTTGGGGCAAAACTTATATATGTATTTCAGTGTATGATTTCAAATCATCATATTCCAATTTGCCAGATATAAGTTAATGTTGGACACCTTAATATAAGCAAATGTTGTTAAATGGATTCCAGTATATACATATATATATATA